ACAGAATGAGTGACAGAATGAGTGACAGAATGAGTGACATGCCATTTCTGAGAGACAGAAATGTGGAGCTGTGGCTGCAGCCCTCATGAAGACCCTTCCTCATGAAAAAAACCTCAGGAAAACAGAGATTCCCCTGCTCTGGGATGTGAAGGTGACCTGGGAATGCTTTCCATGGCAGTGGGATGTGCTCTGTGCTGCCCATGGCAGGGCAGAAGAAAATGATACTGAAAACCTGAGCCCATCTGTGAGTGACTTTCAAATGCTCTGCAAAGCTGGGTGTGGGAACCCAGGACATCCCTCTGGCTGCCCTGGAGGACTTGAGACCCTGGCAGGGGGCTCAGAGACCTTGGCACAGAGTCACAGACACCTGTGCCTTTGATTTTAACCCATGGAAAAGTTACCAACTTTGTGTGAAGATTTACAAGCCACAAGGATTTGAGTAGAATATTAGTGAATTTATCACAGGGTGAAAAAGTAGAATTGTGGGGATTTAGAATGGGGGTTCAAGAGGCAAGATGGAGGAATCTGGGCATGTCCTGTCCTTCTCCTTCTCCTTCTCCTTCTCCTTCTCCTTCTCCTTCTCCTTCTCCTTCTCCTTCTCCTTCTCCTTCTCCTTCTCCTTCTCCTTCTCCTTCTCCTTCTCCTTCTCCTTCTCCTTCTCCTCCTCCTCCTCCTTCTCCTCCTCCTTCTCCTTCTCCTCCTTCTCCTTCTTCTTTTCCTCCATCTTCTGCTGTGTTGGTGACACTTCCGGATTGGTTTAGAGTAGAGACAGACTGTCTAACATAGGTGATAGGTATTGGAAAATTATTGTAAATAAAGTACATGTAGTTCTTAGCATAAAAAGATAACACTGCCCCGAGGGTGGTCAGTGTGATTCAGCCTGACCTGATGGATAGATCTCAGCAGGTCAGAAGAAGAATGTTATAGATAAGAGAAAATGAACAACCTTGAAAAGCAGAGCTGAGGAATCTCAACTTCTTCTTCAGTCGCAGGGCTGGGAAAAAAGAGACTTTCAACACCTCGGGAGCCATTTCAGCAACAACAAACCTGAGAGCTGGGGACGTTTTTGGGGCCCATCAGTCCCTGGGTGGATGAGTTCTGGTGTGTCTGAGCCCTGGGCATGACAGATGTTGGCTCAGAAGCAATCAGAGCCTGTTGTGGCTCCTGCTGTCCCCTGTGCTGCTGGAGCTGCAGAGTCTGACAGGACAGCAGCTCCTCCTGCTGTGTGCTGGGCTGGCACTGCCTGGGCAATGGATTTAACTCCCACAATCAGCCCAGAAACAAAAAAATCCTCCCATGGGTATTGCAGGTTCTTTATTTCAAAATAATGTTTTTAATCTAAATGGTATTTTAAGTCAAATTGTATCAGCCTCCATATATTTTCTCTCTTTTTGTTCTTGATCTGTTTTTGGCAGTCTTAAGAGGTAGAAAATTCCTCACAAAAGACTGGACCTTGCCTTTGTTAGAGACTATTTTTCCACTTGTCATTGTGAAAAAAAAACACCAATGAGAAGCAATCAGCAAAACCAAGGCTATCAAACAATAAAACCTTGAAGTACAGAAATTATCTCAAACGCTAACACCCAAACCCTCAGCTCTCATGACCTTTCTGCTTTGCAGGGTGCACGTGGGTGAAACCACTTGAATACTGATAATTTTTCAATGTCATCCCACAGTCCTTGTTTACTCCCTGGCAGAGATAAGTTACCTCACAGCTCTTTGAGGCAGAATCAGAAACCAGTAATTAAGAATGTAATTTGGTTTGTGCACCCCAGGGAACACAGGGAGCTCCCTGGGGTTTGACTCCTGCCCACTGTGAGCCAGGGGAAGCTGCCTGGAGGGAGGAATTTGGGCTGCCCATCCCTGCAGTGAGGATGTGGAGGAGTTACAGCATGAGGAGGAGCAGGGAGGATGAGGAGGAGCAGTGAGGATGAGGAGAAGCTACATCCTGAGGAGGAGCAGGGAGGATGAGGAGGAGCAGTGAGGGAGCAGGAAGAGCAGTGAGGATGAGGAGGAGCAGTGAGGATGAGGAGTAGTAGTAGGAAGAGTGAGGATGAGGAGGAGTAGTAGGAAGAGTGAGGATGAAGAGGAGTCACACCCTGAGGAGGAGCAGGGAGGATGAGGAGCAGTGAGGGAGCAGGAAGAGCAGTGAGGATGAGGAGGAACAGTGAGGATGAGGAGGAGTAGGAAGAGTGAGGATGAAGAGGAGTCACACCCTGAGTAGGAGCAGTGAGGGTGAGGAGGAGTCACACCCTGAGCAGGAGCAGAGCTCACAGGAGCAGTTCAGGACAATTTGTGGGACATTCATGGCATCCCAGGATGGTTTGGGTTACAGGCCCTTAAAGCTCTCCTCGTTCATTCCAGGCCCTGCCGTGGCCGGAGCACCTTCCACTAGGCCAGGCTGCTGCAAGCCCAGCCTGGAACATCCCAGGGGAACCCACAGCCTCTCTGGACACTCTGTCCCAGGGCCCCACCATCTGGGAACCCACAGCCTCTCTGGACACTCTGTCCCAGGGCCCCACCATCTGGGAACCCACAGCCTCTCTGGACACTCTGTCCCAGGGCCCCACCATGCTCAGAGTGAAGGATTTCCTCCCATGGTCCCATCCAGCCCCACTCTCAGCTTAAAGCCAGCCCCTTGCCTCTGACCTTCATGGAAAGCCTCTCCAGCCTCCCTGTGAGCCCCTTCAAGGGCTCTCAGCTCTCCCCAGAGCCTTCTCCTCATGCAGAGTCAATTCTGGTTTATCTCTTATTATTTATTTCCTATTTTCCTATTATTTATTTATTATTGAACTTAAACCAAACAGCTGTCTGTGTTCTGTGCTGCAGGTTTTGGCAGAGAGAAACATGTTGTAGTTAAAACTTATTTATACAGAGTCTTTGTAGATATTTCAGATACATTTTGGAGGGAGGGGGGCACAGTTTTTGGATCTGCAATTCAAAGACCATTATCTCACCAGATTATTTTCTTGTTGATTAAAATGAAAGGTAAGAGTTTTGCTAAATCTCCTTCCCTTTCTTTTTTCCTCATGATCTCTCACCTCTTCTTTCCTCATAAAGAGCTGGATTACTTTTATCAAGTAAGTATTCTTAAAAACAATTATATCCATTCTATTTGCAGAGGTGGGAATTTAAGGAGACCTTTTCCTCCTGATTCTGACACTCTGCTGTTGGATGGAGTTTTGGGAGTTTCATGAGACAAAACTACAGTTGTATTGGCAGGAGTAAATGGCCATGAATTGGATTTGCTGTCCAGCTGGTGACTGAGTCTAAAATGCCAGTTTGGGAATTTTAGAATTCCTCTGAGCCTCTTCTTTCTCTTCTTTTTTTCTACAGTCTGGAAATGGGTGGAATATCAAGTCTAGGAGCAGGTAATTCTCCAGACAGAGTCTGAAATGATTCCAGTTCAGGAAAATAGAAACATTTTGGGAAATAATGTCATTTAAGTAACGGGTCTCATTTCAGAGAAGTTTGCTGTAATTCAGACAGCCCATCTGAGTGAAGAAATTAGTGAGCTGCATAAAACAAGGAGGTTTTGTTCTGCTAAGCTGAGCTCTTCTGTGGGTACCTCAGTCCAGGTTTGGGGTGTGATGATTTCAGCCTCGAGGTAATTTGAAAGAAGTTGGGGAGGCAAAATGCAGTTGAGCTATTTTGGCATGCTGAGGCAAAAAGAAGAGACAGAAAAGCAGAATAGAAACCCAAGACCTCTGAAAATCCCAGTCTTTTGAAAGTAAAGTGTAATTAAGGACATAAGGATGATTTTAATTTAATTTCACACTAGGAAACACACTCTGTAGCTTTTGTATTTTGGGGAATTATACATAAAATTATTAAGAAAATAAGACAGTGTAAACACCAAAGAATTGTGTCTTAAACTCCATGAAATTATAAATCTGAGAGAGGCCCTGTGGGTGGTAATGCCACATGTCACAGGCACCCTGTGAAGGTTTAGAGTCACTCTCACACTGAGCAATTCCATTTTATTCCATTTTTATTTTAAAAGTGCTCCTTTTTTCTTGGTCCCAGCTCCTCCCATCCCCATGTACAGATTAAGGGCAGTATCATGGAAAGGAGGAGTTTGAATTCCAGGGTTTTTTCCTCCCAAAGTGTGCACAGATGCACTAAACCCCTCAGAGCAGCTCTGGCTGGACAAGGCCACTCTGATCTGCTGCAGAAATTCTGTGACTCAGAGTAACATCTGGGATGAGTCCTCCCTGCCAAATACTCCAGAGGGAGCTTCAAAAATAAATGGGACAATTATTAAACAACTTTACAGATCAGGTGGGCTTTAATTTACTAATAGTTAATGCCTCCTATAAACAAAAAAAATAATGGGAGGAGGAAACTCTCCTTGAAAAATGCCATTTGTGCTAGAAGTGTGAACCCCTCAGAGGTTACCCAGGGACAAATTTGCCAAATGGGAAGTGAGGAGGGCGTTGGGAGGGGAAGAGACATTGAGGATGAAGTCAAATCATTTGTGGAAAAAACCCAAAAACTTCATGGTGGAGGTCAGGGGAGAAAATACCCAAGCTTCCTTTTAGGGCCAGTTTGCAGGTTTATTAGAAAATTAATAAACTAAAAGTGAATTTGTGAGAAATAGACTGCCAGGTTTGGGAACATGGGAATAGGAGAAAAGGTCCAGATGGTGACAAATCCAAATGCTGCAAGAACCCTGCAGTAAATGAGGACCCAGAGCCAGGTGTGTGCCTGCATTAGAATCCTGCTCCTGAACACACAGATCAGGCTCATTTCATCATTTCCTGGCATTTCCCCTCTTTACACCTCTGCCATGTTCCTGGGAAAGTCAGAGAGCTGCACACAACAAAAGCTGATACTTGTTGGGATTTTTAGCAAATGAAGCCAAGCAGGGATCTGATTTCTGCTCATTTAAACTTTTGCCTGTGGCACAGCTAGAGGCTGTTTCTGGAGAATATAATCCTAGCATGTACCTCAGTATATACTCACTAACAGTATATTATGCTCTGGTATTTTGTTAGTAATATATTTAGCATTAGAAGACAGTTTTATTTCTTAGAGCATGAATATTTTCTTAGGTATATATGTCCTGTCTAATGTATCTTTAAGAAAAATGTACATTAACAATATATATCTATTCTTACAATTTTCCTCTGCTAAACCACAAAAAAACCCCAAAATACAAAAAACAATGAGGTAAAACACCATTAAACAGAGTTTGTTTCATTGTTTGCATAACACCTTTTGTTCTCTCCTTTAAAATGAAATTAAAATAATACAAATTTTTGTTCCCAGTGTGGCTCAAAGGTGCCACAGTTTTCAATGGAGGTGTGTGTGAGCCACACAGTGTGGAAAGGAATGGAAATTTTATTCCTCAGCTTGCATTGTGGACCTTATTCCTGTATGAAAACCTTTTTCCCAGGAAAAATTCATGCATGTACAGTTGAATGATCTTATTTCATCACTGGCATCATTATCTCAGGCAAATCACATTCTTCAAAGATCCACAGTGCATCTTTTCAGTAACATCAATTCAGCTGGCTCTTTTAGGAACTCTGCTCCTGTTTGGCAGGTGAATGACACAGCAAAAGCACCTTGGAAGAAACCTAGGTTTTTTTTTTTTTTACTTTTGCCCCAGGAGTTACTTTATTGCTGATTAAAACATTCCATGGCACCACGATTAGGCCCAGCTCTTTATATTAATTGGCCTCCAGGTGGGGCCTAATTTTATGTCTCTGCAGCTGCACTGAGGGAAATTAAAATTTAGAACTCACTTGTGCACTGCATGAGTTGTTTGCTAACACAGAATGACAGCAAAGTGAATTTTTCAGCCCTTCCTTTCCCTGAGAGCCTGGGAACAAGATTGCTTTGGACCTCCTTCAAGCACTTAAATTTAACTTCTTATGTAAAATCTGACTGTTGTCAGGAAAGGCTGCTGCATATTCCTAAGGCATCTCTATAACTGCAAATATAAAATTCAGCAGAGCAGTAAAAAAGTCTAGCTTCAGAGTTAAATAAAGTGAATAATTGAGTGAGAAACACAGAGCCCTTAAAACCTGCACTGCTGGCACACACTCCTGGGTACGTTTATCATTCAGTTTGTCACCTGTAGGGTAAGGGATAACAAATCCAGGGATAACACAGGCTGCCTTGGCTTTGGAGTGGGGCTTCCACAAAGGCTGCAAACTGTGCCCAGCCCCTGCATAGCCAGGACTATAAATCAGTGAGGATCAGGTGAGGGTGGTGGGCACAGATTGGTTTGGTGCCAGTCCAGTCCCAGTTTTGCAGGGCTGTAAATCAGTGAGGATCAGGTGAGGGTGATGGGCACAGTTTGGTGCCAGTCCAGTGCCAGTTTTGCAGGGCTGTAAATCCTTGTGGGTCAGGTGAGGGTGATGGGCACAGTTTGGTTTGGTGCCAGCCCAGTCCCAGTTTTCCAGAGCTGTAAATCCCTGTGGGTCAGGTGAGGGTGATGGGCACAGTTTGGTGCCAGTCCAGTCCCAGTTTTGCAGAGCTGTAAATCCCTGTGGGTCAGGTGAGGGTGATGGGCACAGTTTGGTGCCAGTCCAGTCCCAGTTTTGCAGAGCTGTAAATCCTTGTGGGTCAGGTGAGGGTGGTGGGCACAGTTTGGTGCCAGTCCAGTCCCAGTTTTGCAGAGCTGTAAATCCTTGTGGGTCAGGTGAGGGTGGTGGGCACAGTTTGGTTTGGTGCCAGCCCAGTCCCAGGGGCACCCCAGGGCTGGGCTCTGCAGTCCAGGTGAGGCAGGGCTGTGCCCAGCCAGGGCTGCTGCTCCTCCCTTGGGTCACTGCTCGCTCCTGGCCAGTCCAGGTGTGGCTGAGCTGGACAAATGTCCCTCATTCCTCCTTCCAGCTGGACAAATGTCCCTCATTCCTCCTTCCAGCTGTGCTGGGGCTGCCTGGGCTCAGCAGGAGATCACCAGGGGGTTGGACAGGGACCGTGGGCTCTGTGCCTGCTCCATGGGCTGCTTGTGCAAGAGTTCACAGGCTGCCAGCTCCTGCTGAAGGGTGTCCAGCACTTCCAACAGCTGGGCTTTGCCTTGGGAAAGCAAATTGCAAACATGAGCATTTGAACAAAGTCAGGAAGTTGCAGTTTCACAATCATAACAGGCTCTTTTCATAGGTGCCCTTTCAAGTGGTTATCATTAAATGTCTAAATTTTGTGACCAAATAATGAATTTCTGTCCAAAAAAACCATGAGCAAATCTGGGTTCAGCTGTCTTCTCTGGTCTCCTCTTGCTTCATTCCCTGCTCACTGAGGTCTCACATACTTGTGTGCACATAGACAATTTCATATCACCATTGCCAACCCAACCCACTTTGGCTTGTCAGAGAAAAATGTTTGATTACAAAGACTTGGGACAGAAAAATGTTTGATTACAAAGACTGGGAAAGCTGCTGAAGCCTCCCCAGGTGCACAGGCAGACAGTGGGAAGCAGAGAAGGTGAGCTGTGTATGGCAGTGGTGATGCAGAATGCACAGAGAGCAGCACTTGGGAATTCTGGGGAGCTGAGCTGTGCTGCTGTTACACAGGGAGGAGTTTGAGCAGCATCCCTTGGTTTTATTGCCACTGCTAGTAATGAAGGGATGGGACTTCTTTCAGGCTAAAAATGATTTATTGCTCAGATAAACATCATTCTCAGGGGCTGTGAGATTTTAGAGGAGCAAGCATTCAGCCATAGCTCAAGAGCAGCCACAAGTTCTTTGTTACAAGGCAATACAGAACTTTCTAACCCAATGGACAGCTGCCACAGGGTTTATTTTGCTTTTCTAACCCATCACCTTCACTCACTTCTGCTGCACTGTGGATACTTTTATCCAATGGCTTCTGTCTCACATGCACACAAATGCTTCTGTTCTAATTCTGAGCTCTCAGCTCACTCCACACAACCCCAGCCCTACACTACAAACCCTTCACCATCTCAGCAGTGCAGCTGCTCACTTAAGGCATAATCTTACAACTATAGAACCATAAGTTTATGATTTTTCTGCTTAATATCTGTATATTGTATTTTTACATCAATCCAAGGTTCTCCCAAGGCTGCAGCTCAAACCCTTCAGTGCCTGTGGAAGTTTCCATTTTTCCAATTCCACACCTTGGAGTGCCTGTTCCTGTACAGGATAATTGGCAGCACCTTCTGGACTCTGTGCTGTGGATCCAAACAGGCTCCTCTTTGGTTCTCCCAGGAGAACATCAGAGCCATGGCTCAGCTCTGGTTTCTCTCTGTATTGGTGTCCTGGAGCCTACAAAACTCTGTCTTTGCCCTCTTTTCTCTGCTTCCTCTGCAGCTGAAGAGCACAGCTGCCTGTGCCCTGGATTGCTGGGCACAAGGAAAAACAGCCTTTGAAACTGCAAACCCCAAAGGGTTCCCATGCTGTTCTCCCTAAATCCCTGTAAATAATATTCTCCAAAACCCAGCCCCCAGGCCACATCTGGTCTTTTCTAATCTAGTCTTTGCTGCCTGCCTATTAAAGCCCCTCCAAGCCGTGTTCCTGGGACAAGATGTTCATTCCTTGGAGGGAAGTACAAATGCTCTCCTAATAGGAACAAAGTAATCAAAGCAAAGCCCTGGGGCTGTGATCCCTGCACGGCTCCTGCAAAGGCAGCTCCAGACCACTGGCACGGGACAGGAGCTTGCAGGTTTAATTTTCACACCAGGATCATGAAGTGCTGTTATTAGAGGAGTGCAGGTTTGAGCTGGTTTCTGCACAGAACAGTTCTGATGGGTAAATCTTGTGTTGCAGAGAAGAACCCAACACACTGGGGTAGCAAACCTGAAAACATCTGCATTATATACTTGGTCATTTCTCCACTTTATCCACTCGTATCAATGAAACCCTAAAAACATTTGTAGAATACTGAATTATCCCTCAAAGGCCAACTTTTAATTAAAATTTGACTAAAAAAGTACCTTGGGTGTGGTTTTGATGCATCACAGACTAGAAAGCATCACTTTCTATTGGTATTCTTCTTGCAAGCTACCTCCCTGTACCCCAGGATTTGAAATATCCTTTTCCTACCCAGTGTTTGTCCCCAAAGGACACTTTTCAGGCTTCTTGGTCTTTAGATGTGATTTCTTTTCTTACCAGGCTGGGGGTCACGGCAGGATTCCAAAGTGCTCAGCAGGATTTTCCCCAGGGCTCGCTTTGATATGTTCTGTAAAAAACAAACCAAAATGATGGCACCAATGTGTCCTTCACCAGCTTACAGACTTGCAGCAGAACCTGTGTGCAGGCTATTTGCATTTGGAAACTAAACCAAAATGACACTGAATCCTGATTAACACAAGATTTAATGTTTGCTTTATTTTTAAGCATTTGAACTTAAACCCTGCTCAGACAGTTTTTAGGGGGTTGTAATTCCTTACTATGGCTGTGGATAGAGAAATAACAATTATTCAGCAGGAAATACAGAATTTTCTAGAGCTTGTGCCTAAACAGCTGTAGGTGGCAAGGAGGGTAAGGAGAGCAAAAGCTCTTTGAGTCCTCTGCCAGGTCTGTGGGAAGGTGAACTGGACCTGGTGCTGTTATTTTAGGAAAGGTCTTCTCAGACCCAGCTGAAGAACAGAGCAAATGTCCTGTGGCAGGGCTGGATCTGAGATGTAATAAACATCAACCAAAGTGAGAGCACTGTAAAAACTACTCAGGATTTGGATGGTCTCTCTCAGTGGTGGTTTTACATATGAAATCTGGTGGGACATTACATAATGTGCCTGGGAAAGCACACTGTCCTCATTTGCTGTCAAGACACTGGTGTGCTTTCTGGGAGATGGTCTGGCAATCAGTTTAATTAGCACTTAGAGAGCCCTGAGTATCTGCAGGGCCAGGTTGTTCTTGCTAAAACTTCAAGAAGTGGAAGTGGAAGGGAGCAATTCTGGGAGGAAGATGCTGTTACCTCCAGGCAGAGCTGGCCCTGCTCCCTGCCTGGAGCCCCAGAGGGGACTGGGGCAGAGTGGGAAGCAGTGTGAGGATTTCACATGGCTTCAGCAGCACTGTGTGAGGTTTTATTAGTCCACTCAGGATGTGTGTGTGCCTTTGGGCAGTCACTGTCTGGTGGCAGGTCCTGCTGGGAATGAGATATTTCAGACATGAAGGTGAATGTGCTGGGGAAATGACAGTGAAACCCACAGGTTCTGATGGGTCTCTTTTGTCTTGGGTACATCCCATCAGGGATTATGGGGATTCTTGCTAAACTCCCCTGGCAGTTTTATCTCTTTAATGCTGACTCAGAGTTACATTAGCATGCAATTAAACAAAGGTCCTGTTCTAGAAGGAACAATACATATTCTGGAATCTTCCTGACTGCTCATTCCTCTGTTTTCCTTGTTTGCCCTCAATTTTGGTTTAGAGGGTAATGAGCTTGGAGATTCAGCTCCAAGGAGACCTCTAGGCTTTCAGAAAGCCAGACAAAGGGGCCCAAAGCTTTCTGCAACCACCAGGCAGCTCCCAGGGCACACACCTGCAAAATCCTGTCCTGCTGTACAGGATTTTGTACTTCCTAGAAGGGATGAACATATTCTCAGTTTGGAAGGGACTCCACAGCCCAGTTTTCAGTCCCTGGACTGCTTTCTCAGCATACCAGATCTCGGAGCTGTTGGAGAAGCTGCAGCACATCCAGGAGCTTCTCCTCCACCAGGGACAGCCGAACCCTCTCTGTCTCCAGCATCTGCAGCTCCATCTTCAGCACTTCTGTCTCCTCCACCTTCTGCTGCAGCTCCCCGAGCCAGGGGCCCTTCATCTGCACAAAACACAGCAAACTGAAGGCACTGGAGCTTCTCCTTTCTTGCTCAAGGATTGCAAAGTTGAGTTTTCCCCCTTTTGTGGTAAATGGGGCTCATTCCAGAAGATTCCCTTGAAGGGAAGTCCATTTCTTTAATGTGCTACATGAAGTGAGGTATCAGGGGTTGTTAGGAAATCAGAGCTTTGCTCTTGTGCACAATGGGAATTCATTCATCACTGGGTGCAAGCAGCTCATTCAGGAATTTTAAATATTACATTTGTTATATATTTTATACTTAAATACTAACATTGCTATGTCAGCCTTCTCCCCTTTTGCATTCCTGTTGTCCTCTATAGAGCAAAACTAATTTGTGTGCCCTCAGCACAATCATTCTTTGTCTTGCAGCTCCTTCCTAGCAATCACCTGTACACTCAGTGAGACAGGAAGATGTCTCTGTCCCTGGTGCAGTGGGGACCAGGTGAGGAACACCAAGAGCAACAACCTCTCCACTGTTTCTCCTTGCTTTTCTCCAGATGTTGGGATGAACTTCTCCTTTGACCCTGCATGGCAGTTCATAAACTAATTGCCTTTTTAATTAAGCTGGCAGCTTGCATGTGAGCTCATATAGAAAATAATTGGCATTTCTTTGTAACACTACACTTGGCAGCATAACACTTTATTTTTAGACTTTAGAACTCATGTTCTCCCCATCTATCACCCCCCAGGTCACCACCCTGTCTTCAGGAGGAGCTATTTATAAGCGTTTGCCTGATGGAAAGCAGAACTTTCTAGACATGACAAATCTCAGAACTCTCTCAAACTCTGGTTTTACAAGCCTCAGGTGGAGCAATTATTAATCAGTATTTGAGAGTGCTGCCCTTCACTTGCCTGCTGAGGCTCTTGCTTGTTAGCCTTGTTGTTTTTTGTCTGATTTTCCACACTGAGCAGGTACAAACAGAAGCAAATACAGCCATGTGTAAGGCACTTTTGTCAGCCTCAGAGAAGGTGTTGGTGGTTTATTTTTTTGCAAGGTGCTTGAGAGAGAGCATTTCTCAGTCTTCCTATTTTGCTTTCTGTTGATTACAAGGAGAGTCACCTTTTTGACAGGAATTTTTTATTACTTGTCTGTTTTGTAGCAGCAAATTCCTCCCCTATAACTGCTGGCTAATATAAAAGGGCTTAAGAATAAATTTCCTAACAGGCTCAACATGATTCATCCTACTGCTATTTAATTCATGTCACAGTGAGTTGGCACTGTCTCTTCTTCACCTCCCTGCTTGCCTCTAAATCAAGAGCAACAGATTCCATTTTTCTTCTGGAATTTTGTATTAATCTGTTGGTAATGGTGCTTTTCCAGACAAGCTGCACAGAACTAATATCCATCAACAGAGATGAAAAAGAGGACAGTATGATGCTGCAGAAGAAGATGAGCATCTCAGAATGGGGAAAAAGGAGAAGAAAACTGGCACTACCTGCAGGTATCTTTTTTCCTGTGGATTGATGCTAAGCAGTAGAGAAGGAAATTTTGTGTTTCTCTAAAGAATATTGCAAGGATAAATTGCCATTGAAAGGTGCAAATTGTGTAAGGCAGAAACAGGATTTTATTCTGTTTTTTTTTTTTTTTCCCTAACAAGTAAACTCTTTCATTTAATTTAGTCAAGAAGAAAATTATATGAAACACTGTTAAAACACAAAGGATGGCAACATGTGAAGAAGCTGAATATTTTACCCTCACTTTAAATATTTCACTGATTCACATAATCCTTCCAAAACTACTGGCAACTTTCTGCTTTGTTTAAAGATGGGGTATAAAATACTGAACAAGCACAGGAGAAAGCAGATCAGGGCAATGCACTATTTTTGTTTCACAGAAAGATTGCTGGCACTTCTGTGCCCATCAGGGGCTGAAGTCTGCAGAATTTAAATAGTGAGCTCACACAGGACTGCTGGGATACAGCACTGGGGCTTTAAATAATGTGATTATAACCTCTGCTCAAGGGGAGCTGGACATGCTGCAGAACTAATTTTATTCATATTTTATTATATTAGATTTATATATTATATTTATGACATAAATATGTCAGTCTAAACCCAAGAAAAAGAGTAAATGGGATAATTTACTCCAAAACAGGGAGTCTCAGCCAGCCTGAGGGATTTATTGAAAAGCTATCCTGCTCCCAGAGGTGTTGGATGCCTTAGGATATGGGAGTGCTTCATGCACAGCTGGAGAACCTCAGTAAATCAAGGACAGTATTTGAAGGGCCTGGCGTAATTCTCATCCTCCAAAGGCAGTTTTGGGTAGGAACCAGAGTAGAAATGCAGGTGTTGGAGGAAAGCAGGAGATGTCTGAGCTGACAAACTACAGCACAACGAGAGACATCAACAACAGAGGGCAGAATGGCCAGAATAAAATACAAACACACACAGATGCAGGTCCCCAAAGATGCATAAACAGCTCTCACACTCTGCTTGGCACCTGTTACCTCTTCCATGCTTGTTTCCAGTTTTTTCTCTTGGTGGCCCTTGAGTTCTGGCTGCTCTGTGAGGGGGGAGATTGTCCCCAAGAGCTCCACAGGGTCCTTCCCCTCAGTGCTGCTGGTCTCCAGGTAGGACAGCAGCTTTCTCCATGTCTTTTCATCACATCTACACACATCATTAAGAGAAAAGAGTTAGTGAGACCTCACAACAGAGGTCTGTGTTTGTTAAAACCAGTTTTCCTGTGGAATTCTTGGCAGCACGGGTCACAAATGAGTGTCTGACACTGGCTGAATACCATTGGTTTAGGAGATAATGTTTGGGTTTTTGATGGAGCGGCATAGCGTATGACGTGGACTATCCTACATTTCATGGACTGTCTGATGGGGCAGAGAGTGTGATGCATAGTTATACATACCCTGAAAGCATGAAGAAAACATGCTGGGGGGAAAGGGTGGGGGGGGAAGGGTAGAGTTAGGTGTTCCTGTAGTTAAATTTTGTAACAATGGTTTTTCAGGCCATAGATCTCAGAGAGAGGCCGAGTAGGAATTTATGAAAGAATTTGTTTTATTTTTAGGGTTGTACTTTGTTTTAGGGGGTTGGCAGTTGCATCTAACCCCTCCCCTTATTATGGGGTGCTGGGGCTGATTGGCTGGTAAGCTTGGGGGTTTCCTTTGCGTCTTTGGTGCTTGTTATGGTTTATTTAGGGGGGGGGGGCATGTTGGTAGTGTTTGTTTATTCAGTGTCGTTGGCAGCAGATCATTACCCAGAAGCCTGGGCCAGTTGGGTTGTTGTTGGTTATGGCCTTGGGACGGGGTTGGTAGTGGTGGTGGGGCTTGCTAGAGGGGGTGTGTTGGGGTTACTAGCGGACATGGGGACGGTGAATAGTGGGGGTCTGTTGTCGGTCCAATCAAATTTTAGTGGGGTGGCTATGCCTCATTCAGAGGGGGGGGATTGCTTTTGATTGGAGGGTGGGGATCGTTGTTGACGTTGTTTGTGGTGTTGGAGCTTGTGCGGGGGTTGTCTCGGGGGGCGATTCAGGCTGTTTAGTGGAAGGATCAAGAAGTAGTTTAGTTAAAAATGCCAGCTTTGGGAGTTGGAGATGAGGGTTTGAATCCTTTCTTCCTGAGATAGGGTGGTGGGGTAACTCTAAGAAGGGGTTTAGTCTTCAATCTTTGGCTTACAAGACCAATGTTTTTATAAACTATTAGAGTTCATTAGAGTTTGAGTAGTTTATTTTCTAGGGCGGTCGCAAGGGGGAATAAAACCAGGATGATTGTGAAGGAAGTGAATGAGGCTAGTTGGCCAATGATGATGAATGGGTGTTCTACTGGTTGGCTGCCTAGTCAGGTTAGAATGAGGACGTTGGTGACTAGGGTTCAGAACAGGATTTGTGATAGAGGGCGGAAGGTTCTCGATGGCAGTTTTGATGTGTGTAGTAATGGAGTGAGGAATAGGAGAGGATCGAGGCGGCTAGGGCTAGCATGCCTCCTAGTTTGTTTGGGATGGTTCGGAGAATGGTGTAGGAGAATAGGAAATACCATTTGGGTTTGATGTGAGGAGGGGTGACTAGTGGGTTAGCTGGTGTAAAGTTTTCTGGGTCTCCTAGGAGGTTGGGGGACAATAGGGCCAGGGAGATGAGTAGGGAAAGTATTAGTGCAAGTCCTAGAATGTCTTTGATAGTGTAGCACGGGTGGAAGGGGATTTTGTTGCAGTCTGAGGGGATGCCTAGTGGGTTGTTTGATCCTGTTCCGTGGAGGAAGGGGGCTAATTAGGGCTCGGGGGCAATCTCCAGCCGGCTGCTCCCCACGTGCCACACAGGATGGGCACAAGGCTCCTGACTGCAGCCACAGGTCAGGAAATGATCTTTGCAAAGGGCTCAAATGGCATTAATTAACAAATTAAACTTACCCACTGCCACAGCAAGGGAGCTTGGCCAGGATCCTCCTCGCGTGGCCCAGCTGGGGAGCGCAGTGCCCTGGCCACTGCTCCTCCTCCTCCTCCTCATCCGAGGCGGCCTGGCCCTCCACGGAGCGGCAGAGCTGCTCCTCTGCTGGGAGACAGGCAGCCCTCAGCAGCACCCCAACAACCCAGCTGTTGCACTGTGATGCCACGGTTTGCCTCAGATACCCTGGTTTCTCTCTGTAGATTTCCCCAGGAGTGCCAATCACCTCTCCCTTCCCCACCCTGACCCCTGCTGAGTGCTGTCTGTCAGTCCTGGCATTCCAGAAGGGCTTTGAGTGATCGGCAAAGCTCAAAAGATGCCTTTCAGCCCTGGGGGACATTGGGCCATCCAGGTGTCATTTGTCCCCTGACACTCCCCCCCTTACCTGGTTGATGGGATCCCTACCCCTTCCCTGCCCCTCTCCCTGGGGATCAAAGGAACAGCAACCACTCTTCTCATTGGTTACAGCTGTGGCCTGTAAAAGTCAGGCCTGTTCCCAGTCTTTGATAACTGGCCCAGCTGCAACCCCTTAGGGGTAAGATTACTTTCTACATTATCTTTATTTTCACAGTTGGAGGAGTTCTGTTGGAGCAGTTGCTGGATTCAGAGGCCCGTGTGCCAGGAATAAAGCTCTGGATCGAAACCCTCCAGCAGAACCTGACTCTTTTCTTTCCCCTCGCCTTGAAGCCTCTCTGCCAGAGGTAAACCTGAGCTCCTGCAAGCCTGGACTTGTCCCAAGCACCCAGCTGCAGCATCCAGCCAGCCAAAGGTGTCTCTGAGGTGAAACCACCACACAACCAGCTTAGCCAAAGGTGTCTCTGAAGTGAAACCACCACACATCCAGCCAGCCAAAGGGGTCTCTGAAGTGAAACCACTACAGTTGCCACCTCTGGTCAAGCAGCAAGGGCTGGAGGAGCCCAGGCACAACCCATCTGGCAATATTGGTAAATAATTCCATTACCCAGCTACACCCCCAGCCTGAGCCAGAACAAAGTGTGAGCCTGAAACCCCTGTGGGCAGGTCCCCAGCAGCCCTGGGAAGGGGCTGAGGCGGTGTACAGTGTACTGGCTCTGCATGGCAGGCCTTTACAGAAGTGACACAAAAACACTACAGGCAGATGCAGCCAAGATCCTTATTTTTAACTTGGAGCTGTTTATCTCAACTCTCTTCTTTCCTTGAGGTAAGGTAAGGATAAGTGTGAAGGATCAGTTGTTGTGTGGGACAATTACTGTTCAAGGACACAATTTTTTTTTCCTTGTTCATCTCTCTGGGTTAGTTTTTCTGCCTAACTAATCCTATTTTGCTTGATGGAGCATTTCCCCCTATTTTAGAATCTATGACCCCATGATTTATTAGTATGAAAACATTTTGCTAAAAAGCTGCTTGTTCTTGAAATACAGGTAGTGTAATTTTATGTGGAAACTCTGAGCTGGCAAAGTGTGTGATTTGATAAAAAGATTTGTAAAAGCAGGTTTGGTTTCTAAGTCTAGCCAGGTGAAGAACATGCTACAATGTTAATTGTATTTACTTGTCACTATTTTTAACATTCCCAAGCAGCTGCTTACCAGCTCCACTCAACATACACCTAAAATCCAATTTTTTGTCACAACAAATAGCTCTCCAGCCTGCAGTAAAGATGCCTTGTAACTCAGAATTATTGTCCAGATAAGTGCTTTTGTGGTCTTTGAACTGGATGTGCCCAAAAATATAAATCACTGCAGGGAAGCCAAAGCATGCAGTGTTATGGCAGCTGTTAGGGCTACATGTGCTAAACAGTTTGGGTTGTCCAGAGTCACAGGAGCAGCCAGGATATTTCCAAGGAACGTGGCTCTACAGAATATTAACTGAAAATTGTTCCCTTGGAAATTATTTTCGCTGAGGTTCTGCATTTTTATTTACAAAGAAATGAAATCTTTATACTTTTGAAGCCAGGAAAAAAAGTTTTGGTGGGATGATTCATATGGAAAAAATCAGTTTTAAATCATAGCTCTAAGTGATAAGTTCAGTCTTTCATTTAACACAGAATTATGTGGGGAGTGAGGAGCGGAAATCTGGGCTATGAGGTTTTGCATAGGTCTGGGATTTCACGACTCTCTAGGACTGGTTTGTGGTGTGGTGCTTTGCCCTCTCTGGTGGTTTTGCTGCTGCTGGCACCAGAGGTGAGAGAGGCCAGGCAGTGTCTGGGGCTGGCTTTGGGCTGGGGTCGGTACCGTGGTCAGCGGTGCCCGGCGGTGCCACGGACGCTCTGCGGGTGCCCCCGGGCACGGCTGCTCCCTCCTGCTCCTGCTGCTCCTCCTGATGCTGCTGCTGCTGCTTGGAGCTGCTCTGCTGGGCCAGCTGGCATCGCTCCAGTTCCGACCTGCAGAAGAGGCCAGAGGGTTGTAGCTGAGACAGAGACAGTACAAAGCAACACACTCCATTTCCAGAAGGCTTCAAACCCTGTTTTTATTCTAGCATGCATGCTTGTTCTATGTTCTTACAAAGCTCATAAGTTTACACTTTACTCACTGGTCACAAGAGACAAGCAAAGTGCTTCTTGGAATAAGCAGTTGCAGATTTATCTTATTTATCCTTCTTTCTTTCTTGGTTTCTATGTCAACAACCTTGGTAGGGAATTCTTTCAGGGGTAAACATGGATCCTCTTGTCAAACTTCTCAATGGCTCACAAAAGTTGCCTGTAAAACCTCTTCCACACCAGAGTGAGGTTGGCGTGCAGGAAATTTGGAAAACCAAGATGTGCCCAGCATGGCTTTGGTAGGATGCAGCTGCTGGGACTGGCTGAAGAACGGGGCCATTGTCCCCAAGGGCTGCCTGAGGTGACTTCCCTGACAGCAAAAGGAAGGTGGATTTCAGCTGTCCTGTGATAAGAAGAGCTGAACAGTGCCTGTAACTTTTAATTCAGGTCAAAGACCTCTAGGAAACATCTATGGAGTGGTCACTGTGGCCACAGGACCTGCACCCAGTCCCGTGGGCTCAGACATAGCAGGGAGTTGGATCCATGTCTTGAGAGTGATGGGATGAAGCAGAGTCAGAGCAGTCAAAAAGAATGATCCAGGAATGGTGGCACACCTGGGAACCAGGGACTTGCAGGTGAGGAGTGTCTTGAATGGGTGTCATTGCTGACAGCCTCCTCTGGGATTGTCTTTGTCTGAGGTCAATGACAGGACATCACACTTCTGTGTTTTAAAGGAATGGCTTTCAAGGGATGGGACACAGATCAACTAATGTATCTGAGGAAAAAAAGGAGTCCTCAAAGGTGCCAAATTCCCTCCAAATTCTTCCGTGGGTTAGTTTTGGTCTTGTGAATATTGAGTATTTCCTTTATTTAACACATTAAATAGCAAAAACGAGAGCTAAACCACTTAGCAGCTAGGTCCTGCTGACACAAGTTGTATCATGTAAGCTTTCTGTACAAATCTTGTGCTTCCTGCCAGGAGCTCCAGCTGCAGCTGGGAGGGGACTTTGGCTGCAGGGACAGAGCAGCTGAGGCCATGACCAGAATTGCAGAGCTTTTGTTTAACTCAGCTGCTCCTGAAGAGCCACACCAATGGTAGCTCCCTTATTGCCTGTGAAACCATAAGGAGTAAACAAAATCATGAATTTAACCACAGAAGTCACTATTTAAAAACATCTGTAGGGGAGAAGCTGAGCTCAGCCTTGCTGAAAAGCCAGCACTTGCTTTACCCCCTTGAGTAGGGCTGACTGCATTAAAAACTGACTTACTTCATTTACAATTTATGCTGTTATTCAGCTCAGCAACAACTGGATTTCCTGTAAAGCCAAGGGAAACAGCAATCCCCATGATCAGTTCTTGAAAAAATAATTCTGGAGTGGTGCACAAATAAAATGCACTGTAAAGCCTGGACATTCAGAGTGGGGGCTCTGAGAAGCATCACAGAGCTTCAGAGTTCTGGAGAGCAGCTGGGGGATATTCCCCTTCAAAGGGATACTGCATTTTACTTTCCTGCAATGTGCTGATTTTCTGGTACTCTACAGGAATCCTTTACAATTTCTTGAGCACCATAGTTGGTGTCTGAGCAGATTGTTCTCAGTTTTGAGCTGCAGTATAATTCAGATTGCTTGGGTTTCAGATTCTAGAGTTAGTTCACATAACACAGATGAGAATATTTCAGTGAATATTTATTGCAGTGGTTAAGATTTTAATGTATAAAACATTGATAATTTTCAAGTATCATGAAAATCTTTTCCAGCAGGTGTGGGTGAAAGGGACTCGAGGAGGAGCTGGAAGCAGGAATCCTCACTGCTTCTCAAACACAGGTTTAATTCTTTCCTCATTGCTATTCATACAGCATCAAATGGGTCTCCATAAATGAGAAGCAGAGTGAATAAACAGCACATTTGTTTGGGGCAAAGATCAGAGGGGGAAGGTTTGTGTGGGGTGAGCGTGGCAAGGCTTCCATGGAGACAGGGAAACAGCCCCCATTCATGGCAGAGCCTTTGTCCCCAGCATAATGGGCAGCAGCACTGCAGAGGGGAGAGTTTGCAAAGTACTGGACCTCAAAGTAATGTCCATGACTAATTGGCTTTTAATTGGCTCTGCTGTATTGTTATGGAAACATGGAGCTGCAGGAAAACCCACCTGCTTCTGGTGCCGAGCAAATCTTGGGCTTGAATAATTCCTGACTGTTCAGAAAATAACTCTGAGGAATTATTAACTCGTCATTCACAGACCTTTAACTGGTCTCTTTTAGAGACTTCCTTGGAGCAGATCAAACAGCTGTGTGTGTACATTGCCCTGAGTGTAGTTATACTCAGAGCTACACTTTATTTTCAAAGTGTAGGACTTGTGGTTTTTAGCCAAAATGAGGTGTGATTTTTATTTTTGTGCTATTTTACCTAAGCTGTCAGAGTTCAGGGAACTCAGAATGATTTCAGATTTGGTTTACTCCCTGTGGGAGTTAGAGACTTCAGGCATGCACATTTTGGAATTATTTATGACTTTTCATTTACAGCTGAGATTTTGTTTTCACGCTGGAGCTGAGCATCTGTGTGAGGTTCTGAATTCACCTCTCTCTGGTTGGAGCTGTGAGCTCCTCCCCAACAGAAATCCAATGAATGAACTTTCTGTGATCAATCCAGATGCTTCATCTCAGCTTTTAAATAGCTTAATCTGTCAGGCATTAAAGATAAATGTTTAAAAGCATTAATTTTTAGTGGCTATAATAAAGATCACTAAATATCCTGGCTTTATATGGGCAGTTCTAAAGCATAGTTATAACTTCAACTATAATGGTTACAGTTCTGGGAGGTTTCCAGTTTCTTGGCTGACGATTTTAATTTTCTTGCCAAAATCACCAGCCTCTAGAAAAAAAATCACTGATGTTTTCTTGCAAACCTTTCCATCTCCCTGCACGTTGGATACGAGCAGGCAAATCCAGGGATGGTGCTGGCACACACAGCAGGACTGTGCCTTGCTGTCCCTCCTGTGGTGGCTTTGAGCACTTTGGAGGCAGCACCAGCCCTTGTGCACCCATGATGGAATGGCATTGTTTGAGGTCTGCTTTTAGCCCAGCCCACAAGGAACAGCAACAGAGGCATGTGGGAGCAAACACAGCCTCACCCCACACGCCCGTGCCAGAATTGCCTGGATACATTCTGTTTGTCCTTCCTGCTTTTCAAACTCACATTTTGAGAATTCTGTCTTTCCTGACTTGGATTTTACAGAAAGATGCTTGAAAGCCTACAATGAAAAAATGAATAACTAAAATCCTGTGGTGTTCTGAGCACTGACAGTTCTAACCAAGGCACTTGACATTAATCATTGAGGCCAGGGAAAGCAGAGCTGTGCTCCTATGATCATTTCCTTGTGTAACAGCCCTCACCTCGTGTGTTCCTTCATGTAGACCTGTGCTGTTTAATCCCCAGGAATCCTTCCCTTATGTCCTGGGTGCTGCAGTGCATGGCAGTAAAAATCAAATGTCCAGGGAGCCTTTTAGTGTCCTCAGAAGTGTTCTTCCTAACAGACTATTTAACAGCTGGGTGAAGATCCTGCACAATTCCACTCTGAAAGCTTCAAAATGTGCCAGAGCTCTTTCTGATGCCTGTAAAACTGCAGCTATCCCTGAGTATGGCACAGACTGAGAGCTCCTGCTTACTGGCATGTGAATTCCTTCAGGATTTATTTCAGCACCTCCCAGATTTAGAGCCTCGTGGATCTGGGGTGACAGGAGAGAAGATGGCCCATTTAACAGCAAACACTGTGCCTTCAGCTGGCTGTGAGTTATTTCTGACAGGGTCTTCCTGAGTCTGGGAAAACCCAACAGGAATGTGTGAGGGAGGGGCTGTGAGCAGCCCTGCATCCAAGCTGGGTATTTCTGAGGAGCTGTGCAAAGGGGTTTTGGTGCCTGCAGCTCCCCAGGAGAGCTGAGCTGAGGTGTCAAAGCCAGCAGCTTCCACTCCTCAGATCCTGCATCAGGAAGCAACAACAATTACCTCACCCTGTTTGTGCTTTGCAAAAACATCCTCAGAGCGTCAGAGTGCTGCTCTCCACCAGAGACTCTGGAATTCTGCATGTTCCTTCAGTCCCAGCTCTGTGCCTGCTAGCTTGATGCCTTTAGAAAGTTTTAAGTTTTCTGAGAGCAGCCTGTCCTTTGCCTTCTTGAAATACTGTACTGGTAGGTGACTGAAAAGTAACTCCTGAATTGATTCACAGAACTCAGAATGTTCTGAGTTGAAAGGAACTCCCAAGGCTCAATCTTAAGTGAATAGCCCATGGTTGGATCAAATCCACAATCTTGGCATTATTAAAACCATGCTCTGAGTAACTGAGCCAATCTCAGGGTCAATTACGTTCCTTTGCAAATATTTATAAGTTATGTGCCAGTTCCTAAAGACCAGAAAAGGTTGTCTAATGATTCTGCATTTATTAGGATTTTGCATTTATTAGGATCCTGTGATTTGGCAGCAGTTATAGCAGCTTCTATTTTGTCTTTTGTTGCTGATAGGGTTGAATAAGAAACATTATTGGGAGGTCAAAAGCCACTGGCAGGAGTGTAATGTGACCATCTTAGCTGCTCCCTGGGTGTAAGAACTGATTTCTGCCAGTGTTCAGCACTCTGGCTCATTTCCCTTCTCCATGCTGGACCTCTGCCTGTCTCAGCAGCACCTTGCATTTCTTTGATGAGCCCCAGTCCAAGCAGGTTTGCATTGCATTCATCATCAAAGTCACTTAAACTCAGATCTAAGTTTAAATTTACATAGACTCTTTCCTAGCAGAACACTTAAGTAGGTGCATCATTTTAGCCAATTATGACATCTCATTGACATAAACTCAGTTTAATTAGAGTTTAGCCCTAGTTATGTGGCCACCACAGGCTGCAGTGCAGAGCTACTAAATGA